ACTGTATTGACCTCGCTATCGCTCGGTCAATACGGCAAGGCCTCAGTTTGAGATTTTCCCGTAACGACCTCACTCTCGGTTATTAAGTAGTTAATATCGCCTTGGTGTCATCAGCATACTGTAAAAGTTTCGTTTCTTGCTCTTCTCCGGTATAAATTCCTTTAATGTCCGAATTCTGTCAACTTGAACAATAATCAACTAAGTGAGTCTTAAGTTTGGCTTTACTAACTAATTGTGTCATTTTGATAAATCAAGTCAGCAGTTTAATTTATCGCTGCCATTAGGTGAAGCTACATAATGGATTTCAACAATTTCCTGCTGTGTTTAACATTCAAGATCTTGAAGTGGAAGATTTTCATAATGGTGATTTATCACAAGGTATTCTGTCTTACCTGTATTCTCATAAATATCAACTAGCTTCTCGAATATAGTAATTGTACGATTTTCACAAAATGTCCTAGAAAGTATTATTCATCTCATACGGGATACCGGTAACCACAGGACTTCCATACAACCAGGCATATTGTGGAGTTCCTGTGGGTCAACCTATACTCTTTGCTTTTCTCTTGAACAGATGACGATGAGGAAGAAGATCTTCTTTCCGAAAGGTAATTGACAACATGTGTTCTAATCGGGTCAACTGTGAAGTTTTTTTCAACAAAGACTTAAAATGCAGACTACTGAACAGTGTTGTTTGCTTCGTTAGACCACTACATGAGGTGTACCANTTGTAATAACTAAAATGATATATGCATGAGAACCAATCATTACAAAGGCAAATAGTTGAAAAAAAAGGCTGAACTTGAAATGAAACAAGTAACCGGTTACAAGAGCGGGAAAGGCAAATTAGCTTATGATACTGCGCAAACAGCGCATGCAACACTGTGGTAGTAAAAATGCAATATATTTAGAGAGGAAGCAACATCAGCCATAGTTTAGGCGGGTCCTGTATCCTGGTCAAACTGGAATTTGGAAATATTGTTTTCTTGAGGATGAGGGATACCAAAGTACGCGGAAAAAAGGTCGCAGAAAGGCGAAAAAACGTCAGACATAAGAATCTGGCAAAACCTCAAGACATTTAGTTAATAGTTTTGCTAACAATTTTTTTTTTTTTTTGGTTTTTAATTTCAGCGATTAAAGCATGTAGACCCATCAGCGTATTTTCCACTTATCGAAGAAGACGAGTAAGCCTCAGTTTAACTGTGTTGAAACGTTATTAGAAGGCGACCTTATTATACACATCAATATTTTCGACGATATTTGCATGTTGCACGGCCAATATTAAAAAATCAAACATCATTTGGCACCTTGTGTACTAAACATTAATAATTGTGTTGAAATTGTCCAACACGCTGTTACACCCCGCACAGATCGACTTTACAGCTGACAAAATATTGCTCATAGAAGAGCAACTGGTGTGACATTGCTTGGGGTGTGGCGTTACACACGTCATGTAGGAGGTGACGTTGCGTGACGACCATTAATTGATTGTAAAGGAGAAAAGAAACACTAAGACTTCGGCTAATAATAAAAATCTTTTTATGCTTGTTTTCGTCAGCCCATCGTCCAGATATGCTCTCCTAGACACCGCAGATCTCCCACTCACTATCAGAGAGACTACAGTGGACTATCAGGTACATTCTAGGCTAGCCTGCGTGCCCGGCGTTCAAAGGGAAGGAGAGGGAAAAACTAGAAGCGCGAAACGTGATCGGAGGGGGACGGAAGGCTTTTTTCCCTCTGATTCTCCCTCCGATCACGCTTCGCACTTCAAGTTTTCCCCTCTCCCTCCTTTGGACGCCTTCCACGTGGGCTAAGTCTTGCCCGGAAGTCTGGATTTGCCAAATTGCTGGCAATGTTTTTTTTTTCTATTGTTTCACCCGAACATCAACGACTGACTCTAACCTTGGCCGTTGATTTGTTTCTTTCGTAGTTTCACAGAATTGTCCTTTTTCAACGTCTTTTGGAGGTAAGACACTTAAAACTAAAAAATTGGGGGAAATGCACGTAATTCATAATCTTACTCTCGTAAACGTATATGTATGTTCCATTTTTACTTCTTATGAAAACCCTTAAAGGCCACTCACTGTTCCCAACCTCCTCCTCAGGTAGACAGCAGTTGGGGAGGGGGAACTGACGTTGTTTTTAAGGAGGAACTTTAGATTCTAATTCAACCGCAAATTGTATTTTTTCTAATGGTAACACTTTCCTTCCGTACAGGGTTATCCTTACACAAGAGATCGCATAGTAAGAGAAGCGAGAATAGACATTCCCCCTTTGCTTAGAGGCAAGATATGGGCAGCATTGTTAGGAGTTCAGGTGAGACAAATTTGCCTTTTTATTTATTAACCAGGCAGCGTTAAGGGAGGCCAGCTTTCGAAGACAAAAGGACTGTGTCGTTTGATGGAGTTGTTCATTTCCTGTTCTGTTTTGATTTGTTCACAATCTGTGAATCTGTCGAATGGAAGGAAGCATGATAAGATTCTTTGCAGCAGTTGGATAGTCATGCAAGGGTTCACACCAGAAGAGCATTGCGTGACGACACAATTAAACCAATCAGAGATGAGATAGGATGTAAGCCATACGCTCAGCCAATCAAAAGTGATTTGTGCGCCCGCTTTGTCTACTTTTTTGCATTTTGTTTTATTCTCAAACCTCTTCGCTTTTTTATCTCGTGGTATTCTCATCAGGGGGACATCCAAGGTACATACGACGCAATAGACAAGGAATCGTTTACTCAGACGGACAGACAGGTGAGAACAATCTAAACTAGCCTGCTTGGCTCCAATTCTCTGCAATATTTTACCGTCACGACCCGAGCCACGAGGAGAATGGGGAGAGGCGGGAGAAATGACAGTTTACTTTTCGCGCCTCTCCTCATTCTTCTCGCGGCTGCCGCTCGAGTTGTCAGTTCTCCCCAGTAACCCGCCACTGATTTAGCATCGTTACCAGGAAACAGTATCAGCCCTAAAATATTAATATTCTTGTTTTGGACTTTTATTTGCGTATTGGAACTTCCAAACACCAAGACTATCCATGTTATCAAAATCGAATAAAACTTTATCTTACTCCGGCCTAATGCAGCTCTAAAATATCGCTTTCTTTTCTTTTTTCAAAGATCGAAGTTGACATTCCTCGCTGTCACCAGTATGATGAACTGCTGTCTTCACCAGTCGCTCATCAGAAGTTCAAGAGGATTCTCAAGGCCTGGGTTGTACGTCACACTGACCTGGTCTACTGGCAAGGTAATCAATCAGTCATCTGGCGAAGAACGGGACACAGTTAATACCACATACCGAAACATTCGCTAAAAAGCCGTTGCGGAAATACCTCCGGAAAATATTTCCACCCCCTGTACCAAAAAAATCTCGAAAGCTAAAATCCTTCCAATAAGACTTTTAGATCCTTGGAGATTTTTAGATCCACTCTCTCTCTCTCTCTCTCTTCTCCCTCGTCGACTTTAAGCCCGGCTTATACTCAGACTTAAGCTTTGTTGTTTATTTTTTGTCTTTCCTCAGGACTGGATTCTCTCTGCGCCCCTTTCCTTTCTCTTCATTTTAACGATGAAGGTAAGAAGTCTATTCAGCTTAACACCCAAGGGCAAAACGGTTACTAATGTATGACATATCATTTTTGTAGCTCTTGGTTACGCTTGTCTGGCGGCGTTTATTCCCAAATACCTGTACCACTTTTTTCTGAAGGATAATTCGGCAATCATACAAGGTGTGTTGCCTTTTGTTATTTTTGAGTCTTTGTGACCGTTAAATGCGTTGTGTTAATAGTTGACACTTTAATAAAGTCTTTCATTCATTCATTCAGTCAGTTTTCCAAGTGATTTGTTTTCTTTCATTTTCAATGTAGAATATTTGGCGGTATTCTCTCAGTTGATCGCCTTTCATGATCCAGAGTTGTTCAACCATCTTCATGACACTGGATTTATTCCAGAGGTATGATCTGATTCTCTTAGCATCTGATCAACAAAATGAAGCTGGACTGAGCTTATCAGATGTATCAACGTCGTTGCAATGAAAATGATATTTAATAATCAGTGGCACAAACTTCTCGGAAAAATTTCCGAGCTCTTCCAAACGAGAAAATCTGAAAGAGCCCATGACCCTCCACAAACACAAAACGACGGGCAAAACGTTGCAGCTTTTACCGTTCTAGGAGACCGAGGTACAATCAGTAGAAATGAAACAAAGTAAACCAAGCAGCAAATTGGTGCTTTGAGAGTTTTCGCCGACTGTAAGCTTTGACCACGTTTGTTTTTGTTTTTGTTTTTGTTTTGTTTTGTTTTTTGGCCGCGTTGATTTTGCTGCTCAGTCCCCTCCCGACTAACTGCTACTGGTTCTTCAAAGATAAGGTTCGACGGCTGTGGCAGAACCCGGAGTTTTTCCTTTCTTACAGTTTCCTGCAGAGTCCTGACTGTTGAACACCTTAATTTGTTTCTTAATTTTATACTATTGCAAATTTTAGATACCAGGGTACGCCATTACTATTTAAACCACGTGTGACACGCTGTCGTTTGGTTCTCCCAACAGCTGTACGCAATCCCATGGTTCCTCACGATGTTCTGTCGTAAGTATCCATCTTCGACTTATGATGTTCCGGATATTACT